GCCAGCAAAAGCCAACAGAAGCTAGCAAAAGCTACCAGAAGCCACCAGAAGCCAACAGAGATACCTAATGCCTAAACGTGAAAAAAAAATCCCAAAAAAAAACGAAAAAAAATCCTAGAAAAATATGAGTTCCCGGCTATTTGTAGAGGTCGGATGTAGTAGGATGTAGTAGGTATATATGCTTTGTACACCAGCCCAGAACCTAGGCAAAGACCATGCTAACCAAATCATCATGATGATCACGGTTCTGTTTCTTCTCAAAGAAATGGACCTCACAAAAGAGTCAAAACAAGAACTGGGCCCTTGATGGCCCAAAACACGACTCTGAGATCCACCCCTGGGCTTCCAGGCCAAGTTATTCAAGAACCAAATGTATTCTCGAAAATAGGGATCCAATCTCCGATATGCTGGCACCTGCCGTTTCGAAACGGTCTTTCGGCGGCCTCCCGGAAAGGGTCAGGCAAGAGGTCGGGCGGAGGAGATTAGGATCCGGGAAAAACGATCAAAGTCCCCCCGGAAGAGCCCAGTCAAAGGCAACACATCAAGAAGTCAAGGCAATGTCCACAAGTTCTGTGTAAGTAAGTTTGTGAAGATTGTGAAGTAAGTTCTGTGTCTATTTTTGGGGGTGAGTTCAGTGTCTATGTGTATTTGTTGTGTGCGATCTTTGTCTGAGAGTGACCAAACCCACCAGGGGATCAGTCCTTCGGTCAACTGAAGAACCAGCGACCGATTTACCTGGAGCCTCCCCCATTTGAAATGGAACACGACCCAAACAAATGGGGACATGTCCGTTTTCTGAGGTAATTATGAGCCATGTATGAACTGAGACTCAAATGTTGATTTCTCTGTGTTCTTTCCAAGTTCGAAAGCTCTCTTCACCTCAAGTCACCAAAGAGTCGCAGAAAAACGCGCGTTTTAGGCCTTGATGGGGAAAGATCGTGGCTCGATGCGATCAAAGCCCCTGTCCCGCCAGTAGTCATAGTTCTCGGCCTGAGATGTGAACTATGGCGGCAAAGGCTGGAAAACTCTCCCACCTCAAAGGCTTGACAGTTGTTCAATGGAAGTGACAACTTCAGTCCTGTCTGCATCAAAAAGGAGTGTCGACGCCGTCTAGTACAGAAGATCGAATTGATTTGTTAGTCATGGATGGATTCTCCTTCAACACACTTAACTTTCCCGATGTCGGATGGGGGTCCGGGGTGGGGCCCCTGCCGTTTCCAAGGTCGGAAAGCGCAAGCCCGCGTGGTCTGAATAGATCCCATCCTCCTTCTCCCGCTCGTCCTCTGCGTCGTGGCGTGAAAGAAGCGACTTCACAAAGCTCAAGACGCAGCGACGCAGCGACCATGTTCCGAAGCCCAAAACGAAACCCAACCGTTGACCTGGCTACACCTGGCTGCGATACTGGGATTGAGTTGAAGATCTGAGATGTCGTTTCTCGAGTTGACCTTCTCCCACAAATACCAAAAACAGATTGAGAGAACCATGGAGAACCGCATCCTCTTCGGAGTCCCATCCAACTCGAGTCGTTCTCCCCATCCGAACGGAGCCGAGCTCCATATCGCTGTCTGACGCACACACAAGTGCCCATGTCCGCTCCAATACATGTGGCCAGTTGAGCTCCCAGCTGCCCCAAAGGAAGTGTCCAATAATCAAGTTGTTGCAAAATATATACAGAGCTCCCACAAAGAAAGGACGTTGCTCCACAAATCCCAGAGAAAACCCTGCTTGCAATCGGTTTAAGCAAGGTCCTCCCAGAAAGACATAAACACAAAAAGCAGGTCCAGTCCTTGTCCCTGGCCTGGATTCGAAAGCGATAGGGCACACCTGTGCTTTCATCGGAAGCGGCGGCTGGCTGAAGCCGCGGATGGCAACATGACACGGATCGGATTCTGTGGGATCTGTGGGATCTGGTTCAAAACAACACAGATGATTCAAGGGATGGGATGCTTCACATGGGATGGGATCGAAACATGAAACATCCCATCCGAAGGTGAAGCTCACCGAACAAAAGGCCTTTGTTCCATTGATCGTTATCAGCGTAGCGCTCCGTCCGGTGTGCCTCGCGCGGTGCGGTGCGACAATTCCGCCGAAGCTGCGTGGAAAGTCCGGTATGTGCCAGGCAAAGCACTAAGGTACTGCTCATACTAAGATACTAGTCCCTAAACAGTCAATACTTGTCGTGAACCCGCCCCAATTAGCACTTGCAGCTAGTTCATGACATTGAGACTGAAGGTACAATTCGACGCCGTCGACTTCCCCAAAACAAGCACTTGCTACGATGAGACTCGGTCGCCTCCCTCTTCTTCGCCATGAGATTCTCCAGTTGTGGCCTTGGGAAGTTATCATCCCGGTCGTCGCTGGCCTGGCTCTGCGGTCCAATTCATCCACCAGGAAGATCTAATCCAACCCGTTTCGAGGGGTGGATTAGATCTGCTTTCGTTCATGTTCATGATCTAATTCATATCAAACACAGTTTTTATTGGCATCACAACTGATTTCTGCGCCGAGGCTGTGCACACCAAAAGGCGAGAGTTGGGAGTGGAAGCCCTTCTCACGTAACACGAAGTCCCAATACAGAAGACATGAACAAGAGGTTGTGAACGTTTCTTTCTGCACGCAACAGGTTTAGGAGTTCAGATGAGTTCACACTTCAACCAGGTGGGTCACGGTGGGTCGCCTTCGTCTCTTCCGTTGGAGATCCACTGGGTCCCTGGGTCGCGTGTTCTTGCGGACATGCGAAGGAACGCTCCACTTAACGGAAAGCGAAGTGGAAAGCTGACGTTTCTGCAAGACTTGGTTCGATCCAAATGGAAAAGGAGCGAATGTCATCATCAACGGTTTTGTCGCGGACTGTTGACTGTCTTTGTCTTTTTCGCTGAGCCATTGTCCATCTCCCTATAAAAGTGATCCATGTTTCAAGAAGAGAGAATTCCAAACCAAACGGAGGACCAGGTTGACATCCCTGGATCTGTGCATATTTTTGTTGGACTGAAGAATAGCAAGAAACCTGTGAAAGTACGGCGTGCGGATGTCACAAACGTGACAGCACCAGTGATGAGACTCGGTCTCCGACAACGTGCCAGTCTTCCAGCCCCGTTGCTACTAGACATTCTGATGCCATGTACTATATGTTACTATATGTACTTACTAAATGGGGTAAGTATTACTTACTTCCTATATAGTAATTACCATCAATGATGCCATGTACTATATGTATACTAAATGGCGGTAAATATGCACATCACAGATTCCAGTCCGGATGCTCCGGGATGTCGACCCCCTGAGCATCCAATCTCCGGTGAAGGTCCTTCAAACCGACCCGGGCGACTGGTGAAACCACTCACAGCCTCCAAGCATACTGTGTGCATGACACCCTTTATCTCCAAGAAACAGACCCAACATCGCTCTATTTATAGTCATTTATAAGCTCTATAATTTATATATGGAACACATATAGTAAACAACACACACCCAAGGAGGTGTCCAGTTCCAGGCTTGTTGGGGCCGGTCCATCTGTCGCACCTGATCTTTGGGATCCGTCGAGCTCAGCCTGACACTGCGGCGTGCGGAGGAAGTCCCGGAAGCGAGCAGTGCCGGCCGAGCCCTGCTTCATCTCCGGTTCTCCGACTATCTCCATACTTCTCCATACCATATGTTCAGAGTGGGTGAATTCAGAAGTTTCAATGTATGATGAAAAAACCATACAAGTAGGAAGGCTTCACGAGTATCTCACCATTGAGTCAGTGTTAATCCACGTGATTCTACACGTAAAAAATATTAAACAAGTTTTTCTGTGGTTGTTGATAAGTTTCCTAAGATCGTGATAAACATGTTCCTATGAATTACGTGACTTTGTTTGGAACAAATTCCTGGCTCAGTGCAAGTCGTTGTTCACAGGCTTTGGCGAGTCGTCTTCTAGTTCCTGACGTCGTGAGTCGTTAACATCGCCAGTTCGAAGTGTTCCACGGGGGTGCATTAAATGGAGGAGCACCCGGTGCCCCTGTCACACTCGCTGATGGGTCCTTAAGTCCCATCGTCCCATTCTGGGATCTTATATCTTCTGGTTTCCGTCCTCATGTGCCCTCTGCAACATTCTGACACCCTAGATGGCCTCACTGAGCCCAGGCATAGACCCCCATGGCTCGTGTGCCAAACAACCCAAGCGCTGCGCAGGCTGCGCGCGTTGCACCTCAGCTGGTCAAACCTACAGCTCAGGAAAAGAATGGCCGGCGTGAACTCCTCTGACTTCTTTAGCATCTGTGTTTTTCTTGCTTGCCAAGTAAGCCACATTAAGTGAATTGGAGTCCAAGTGAGACTTGATCTTCGAGATCCACCCAACCAGCCGAATCAGCTCAGGGACCACTTTCGCAGCATCGCACGCTCAGCCCATCGCCGTCGTTCGAAAACCGGGCAGGCGCCCCGGAGGTCGTGAGGTCTGTGAGGTCACGTCCGGCGAAACAGGTGCTGAAAAGGCCATGATGGCTATTGCATGCTATTGCTATGGGTGAAAGTGGGATGACATCATCTGTTAGTAGCGAACATTGCTCCTAGTACGGCCAGGAGCCCCGAACGTAGCGTCCTTGCTCCTAGTAGCGATGCTAGGAGCCCCTAGTAGCTTCTTGCTCCTGGTAGTAGATGCTCTGAGCCATGTCGACATATGTGTGTTCTGCATTGAGCCGGGTGTAGAATAATGGGCACGGCGACAGCAACATTGTGCAACGTGTATGACCAAACGGTCCAGATATATTGAAATATATTGATTGTACCAAATTCAACAAACACCAAATGGCCAAACACTCCTCCCAGAGTGGCAACCACTCATCCGCCATCTATCTCCGGCCTCGTCAGCTGAGTTCTCCTCCATTTGAGTTGAAGCTTCCTGCTCAAGCCCTGCAAATACCTCCAAGGGCCGCACATCGAACCTGCACCGCATCCTGCTCGACCGAACCGGCTCCGACCGAACCAACCCGGTGCACGCGCCGAAGAGGTGCAGGTTCTTCGGCATGCGGCCACCTACGAGGCGATGCCGTGGAGGCCGAGGCGGCCGAAAAAGGTGCGACCGACATGCCAAAAGGGTGACGTGGAGACCGGGGAATGTCAGAGGATCCCGAATTTCCACTTCGATGTTTGGTTTTTGGAGGAGGGTCGATGACACGGCTACCGTAGACTTGGGCGAAATGGTAGATCCATGCAGCACCATGCTGCACCGGCAATGGCTCAGCTACCCCGCGCCAACGAATGTCGACCAGGTCGTTCACTTGTTCGGAGAGTTCCACTGCCGCAGTCCCAAAACCTCTTCATAATCTTCATATGAATAATTCAATATTATTATAGATATAATAATCATAGTCCTTTATCTGATTATAACAGTTATATAAATATATCATCCCATTGTCAACCATTTCTTTCTTCCCACTCCATCTATTCCCATCATCACCCCGAGTCCCGACTGTTGAAAACCGGTGGTGGACCGCGGTGTCCACCACCGGCGGACCACCGCCGCGCCGTCCGCCGTCGCCGCGCTATCGCGCCGGGGCTGGAGCCGGTGTCCAACGGTTTCAGACCGGTCCAGTTGAAAAACACAGCGGACATATTCTTCAGCATGAAAAGGACAGATAGCAAGTAAAGAAGCAACAACGCGGACGTTTTCTAGGTGTTTGACTTGAAACATCTTGAAACATCTTCATTCTCCTGCATGGAACATCTCCATGTCTCAAACATAGAGTGAGCATCTGCAAACCCTTGACCTCTCACCAGTACAGCGTATGGCTTCTCTTGCCCCCTTTTACGCCCCACTCCAAAGCCGCGATGAGTTTCTGGCGAGATCGATGGTGGAACGCCCGCGGGAAACGGAAGACACATCGACCACAAGAACTTTGGCGGTCGACACCGCGCGGGAACTCGGGCGCATGAGGGGGAAGAGTCACGCCTGGGGAGCTGGTAGAAGGAGCGTGCAACCTTGGGATAATCTGGTGAGGTTCTGTTTCGAGGTGGATTGAACCTACAACTAACCCTATACACTAATTGATTGCTACTGGCAGAAACTCGCTGCGTGTGAACATCCGAACTTGGAACAGGGTTTTCAGGACAAAACAAACAAGATGTGTCACAGTGTCACGCTGCTTCTCATGGTGGACCTCGAAGTCGCAACCCTTCCCACCCTTCCAAAAGCGGTCTTGTGACATTGGTCCTAGTGGTGAACTCACATGTCACATCTCTCTCCCAGCCAGTCTGACTTGCCCCGGCCAATGGGCCCGAGTCGCCCATCGATCCTTAAATACTCTTTAAATGTCAAAGTATATGGCGACATGCAAAAACGATGTACAGTCGATATATGTCGAGACAGGTCGAGACTTTGCTCCGCATTTCTTTGTGCAGAACGGACAAGCAATCGGGACATCACATGACACGCTCGTGACTGCGCTCGTGTGTTAGAAGAACCGGCAGAGCAAGAGTCTGGAGATGTCTGGAGTCTGGATGCCAAAAGGATTGGCCCAAGTAGTGTGCAACTGGAGACGTTTTCACATGGAGTTGAGCCTGCAAGTTCTTCCCTTTTGAATGTGAACATTGTGAGGTTCCCACACTGGGAATTCACACCATTGACCTTCAACAAATCGGGGTCGGCAATCCATGTCTCTCCTGCCATGCTCGCCAGATTCACTTCGCCGACGGGACCACTATAGTAGCGATGCCCTTAGTTACTAGTAGCTTCTAGTAGCAATGCCCTTGTTACTAGTAGCTGTTTGTTCCTATAGTAGCGATGCCCTCCAACCTACTTGCGATGGCCTCCACCGAATACAGTCGCGCGTCCTTGTTACTAGCCCGCGGCTTGCGCATTTTTTAGCAGCTACTTTTCAAAACCTGACGACATTCTGAACATGTCCTCAGTCAAACACTAGCCCAAGTCTACCGCAAACCTAGCGCCCAGCTGCAGAATAGGTGTGCTTAGCTGGGGGCCCGCTACATAATCTAATTGAAAAAACAACATCATAAGCTACTTTCGACCATTTTTATCTATTTTTTGATCATAGACTTTTGGCCGGACTCCACGTGTGTAGCGATGCCCGCTCACCTTCACTTCTTCACTTCTCGCCCCTCCGCGTCCAGTACGGTGATCGTCAAGGGCATCCGCCCCACGCGTCGTCCGCCCTCATCGGTGACGATGACCGTGTCAGAGAGGCCGATGGGGCCACTGGGAACGTCGTACTTCTGAAACCAAGGGATGAAGTGGAAGACCATCCCGGCCTCAGAGGTCAGGTGCCCCATGAGAAGATTGCGCAAACAGAGTGAACAGAAGAACACAGATGGATGAAACTGAGGGGCGAAAGGCAGACACGCCAAATGTTTGGGGGGTGAATCAAATAGGTGAACCATGGTGAACCATGGTGAAACTTGCAGACGACTTCAAATTTCTGTTCAAGAAGGATCTGGTCTGACCGTTTTTTTCCTAAGTTTGAATCAAATTTGAACAAACACATTTTGTTGCGCATGCAGCCTTGCAGCCTTGCCTGTCTGGCCTATATCATATATTGGTGGTGTTCGATATCTTAATTGTCAGTCGCCCCCTGCTGACAGAATCTGTCTCAATTTCAACATTTCAGCAGGACTTGGAGTAATCATGTTTCATCTATCATCATCTATCCACCAAATCGCTTCAACCTCTTTTCCACATATTTCCACATCAACACTAACATGTTTGGTTTCCGGTGATAAAGGAACGACACAACGACCGCCCGTCGCTCGCCTGGAGCTCGCCCTCGTTGTGCCCCACCAGCGAGAAATCTGCATCGCCCCAGCCGGCATGCCCAGATGGCTGAGTTGAGGTGGAGCCAGTGGAATAGGCCAAACGCCTTAGTGGAAGAAGGTGCGCTATAGCATGGTGGAGGCCAAACGCCAAACCCTTGGCCTCGGAGTAGTGGTGGTGGCAGACTTTCTGGAGTGAACTACCGGTGGCCGTGCCTCGTATTGAAGTCCAATGAACATCCTTTATCCAAACTAATTCAACAACCTTTGATGAGTGAACAGCCCCCATTAAGATCCATGTAGATTGTAAAAAATAGCTCTTCAGAGTTGGGGGTGGTTGAAATATAATCTTAGTGCTTTACTTCGAGCGATCCCTGCCATGACATGTCAATTTGTTGTTTTCATGCATGGTGAGGAGCATGTTGCCATGGTCGTGGGCTTTGTGGTTTTGGATTTTGCTTGTGGGTCCTCGGGTTTGGGATTGTTATTGTAATGTTAGGTAGTGCGTGTCGGGGTGTCGCCAGGGTCTCCAAAGTGCTACCCGGTCGCCAGGGTCTCTAGTTGGTTGTGTGTTTATGCCTTTGTGTTTCTGATTGTGTTTGTGGTTGTGTGCTTGTGATTGTGTTTGTGGTTATGTGTTTGATATTGTGTGTTTGCGGCTGTGTGTTTGTAAATGGGTGTTTGTGATGGCGTGCTTGTGGTTGTGTTTGTGGCTGTGTGTTTGTGATTGTGTGTGTCTGTGGTCGTGTTTGCGTTTGTGGTTGTGTTTGTGTGTTTGTGATTGTGTTTGTGGTTTGGAATTGTGTGTTTGTGGTTGTGTTTGTGGTTGTGTTTGGGATTGTGTGTTTGTGGTTGTGTTTGTGGTTGTGGTTGTGTTTGGGATTGTGTGTTTGTGGTTGTGGTTGTGGTTGTCTGTTTGTGATTGTGCTTGTGGTTTGTCTGCCTGTGGTTGTAGTTGTTTGTGGTCATGTTGTGTGGTGGTGTGTTGTGTGTTGAGGTCCGGTAGTGCTCACTGTGATCTGGCACTTGCGGTTGTTCTCCGGCGGGGAACACTGCCATCCGGAGCTGGCGGAGGACGGCAGCTGAGCAGCTGACATAAAGTCTAGCAACCCTCACCTGACAGGTGGGGAAAACTGATTCAAAACCTCGTGTTCCGTTCGGTGGCCGCCGCTCGAGTCGACTCGGGACCTCGCTGTCGAAATGGGTCCTTCTCCAAGGGACGCCGACATCGAGAGGCCGTGCAGGTTGTTGGTCATGATCTCACGGCCCACCGCGTCGATGTCCTTGGCTTTGGCACCCGGAAGCATCAGCGGCAAGCACACCTGACATGGTCTGGCGGTCGCAGGACAAGTCTGGCGCAAGAGCCGAGAGCTGTTTTGGGGGAGAGACTGCCAGCGGCAAGGACTGGAATTGAAAAATCGATCGATCTCGAGGATCGGACTCATCTGAACCTCCGGAGTGTGGACGGAAAGTTCCCTCGGGTCTCGGATTACAGCTCTGTACAATAAACCCAAAGCAGCTGGTAGCTGGCCAGCTGGGCAGTTCGGCTTCGCTTGCAAGCAAACCTCTTGTCGACAGGTGTTCCGTCTCCCGGCGCCTCAAAGGTCTTCTGGATGAGCTCCTCCGCTTCTTTGAGCCAAGCAGGCGCTTCATGTTCCTGACGGAGGCTGTGCTCAGCAACCGGACCTACCGCACCCGGAGCCAAGGCCAAGCAGGCGGTTCAGCCATTCTGCTTGGTCTTCGACGTTCATATATTCACATAGGACCGTGGTAGACGTTCACATCAGATTCTTAGACGTTCTTAGACGTTCCACATAATTTCATGATGTCATAGCGTATTTTACATGAAACGAAATACGTCTGTTGGCTCTTCACTGAGGAGCCCTTTTGTTGACCGCGGTTCCACTTCCGGAACCGGTCGCCTCCGGCTTGAGAATGTACGCGGTCCGCATCAAGGGTGCGTGATGGCCCAAGCGACAGGCCGACAACTCCAAGAAGACCAGGTTCCCCGAGGTGCACTCCTTCGGCGGAGGGGTCTGCAACGAACTCTGCAACAATGAACACGCTCAGGTCGCATGTGTGACGCTGCAAAATGGAAGGGACTGCCTTGCCCAGACCAATGGGACTGGCAGCCACGGTATACCTACATTGGGTCTGGGACTTCAAGGGTCAATGTGTGTAAATATGCCAGTCCGGATGGTCCGTCGTGGTTGCTGTCCTCCGTGGCTACCCGTGCCGGTACCGAACAGAGACTTCTCAAAGGTGAGCCGTGGCATCGCCATGACGCCCCTGTGGACAGGACGAACTCGGATCCACCCGAAGGTTTGTTCCCGAAAACGCGGCTCTCGAAACGAGCACGAAAACGACGTTTTTTTACGCTGTTCCACGCTGTTCCTGGTCACTTCCGTGCGTTTTTTCAAAGGACCTAAGGGGGTGTCTTTGGTGGTTTTCCGGCTTTGGTGGTTTCATCGCTTGGTGTCCGGAAAGACGCGATCGAACCGATCGAACTCCTCTCCAACCATCCAGGAGCCGTGGCCACTCGGATCGGTGCTTCGTACGATGGGCACATAGCCTGGCACCTGCACAAGACGAGCTTGTAGCAGTACAAGACCGGAATGACTCACCTATAAGAGATATAGAAATACAGGGTATTCTCTTTTGAGTTTGGGAACAGTTTCTCTCTTTGCTCCACCACTGCTTCCATCCCGGCTTTTGGTGTCTGCAGCCGTTCGCCGTTTTGCCCCGCGTCGACTGCCGCGACAGCTGTCCCGCGCACCTCGCTCCCAAGGGACATGAGGGTCTCATAGCTCTGCTTGTGAAGGGTGCTGAGGAGAACCCCTGCCAGGGCGGCTCGGCGCGTGAAGGAGCCCGTCCATGCGAGACCAAGCTTAAGGCCGACAAGTCTGGACTTCTGGGCACACCGGAGGAGACTCGATATTGATGGGCCTGGGATGATGCAATTGAAGAACTCAAGCCAAGACTTAGTGGTCTGTTTCCCCGAACTGAGTAGTTTCTGCCCCGTTTCAGATTCATTATCTATGATATGATCTATGGCTTTGCTCGGCTCAAGAACGACATGACTGTTCCATGCAAACCGGAACACATCCAAAAACCGCCGCTCCGACCCAAACAGATCGATCGATGCAGGCAGTGCCGTTTGGAGCCGTTCTCTCAGAGCGTCGCCCGAGCGCGTCGCCCGAGACCGGGCGTCGCCTGGCTGAATGAGCTGGAGACCACTGAGCAGCGCGGCCTCGGAGATTCGCGCGGCCGCCACGATCTGCGCCTGGCAGGCAGGGCGTCGTCGGTGCTGCTTTCCCGGCCAGGATGGGCCAGGGCTGAGGGGTCTGGCAAAGGAGGGCCATGGTGGATGCCCAGGGCGTGGCGAAGCACAACTGGAACGAGTTGGTGTGCACAGGTCCACAGGGGAGGCGTTCAATGAAAAGAAGGGTCGAAGGTTGAAATGGAGAACACGAGGCTAGCGGCTACACAAAGACACGACCAAAAAGCCAGGGGAGTGTCGAATGATGTCGAATGTCTTCAAACCAACTCTCAAAAGCCCAATTAGATCTAATTCGTAATATATACTGCCACTCCCTGTCATGTCAACCACTTCCACAAATCCTATTCCAACATCCACCATCTCCGACCTCATGTTCACCACCCTTCTGGAACTTGAACTCATCCAAACCCCCCCCCAGACGTGCGGAAAAAACCATCTCTGCCTGCTCGAAGGTCGATTTCACCAGGCGGACGCGCTCCACCTACTTGCAATGTGATTCGCGACGTGACGAGCGGCGCGATGCGACTCGGGCTGCGACTCGTGCGTGCGGGACGCGACGTGACTCACCGCTTGCGGTCTATGGACTTCGACGACATGTGGCAGTGCCTGTGGGTGTCATGTTTCCACCTCTTGAAATATCATGAGGAAGGCGATTAGATGCGATTAGCATCACCAGAAGTGGTGGTAACTGACGGTGACGGATGGGAAGGCGACTGGCTGGTTGATGTCACTGGTCAGCATGCCCTTTCAGCTTAGGTTACTTCACGGATGGTGGACGGCTGCAGTGATCAATGGAATTTTGATCTGGTGAAGGGATGTTCTAGATCGCAAGACCATGCGAGACCCCTTCTGATATCTGGTCCATGAGAAAGAAACAAGGTGGAGAGCACGAAAGATCAGGATCTTGTCCTTTGTGTCCTGTGGCCGCTCTCAGCCAGTTCCTGTGGCAGCTCTCAGCCTGTATGCACATCAAGGAAGCACTATGCAGCTGCAAACCTTGATCATCACCCTCACGAACCAACGCTGGCCGCCCAAAAAGGGGGCACTCCATGTTCTTCGAACGGCCAAAGGCCCCCAAGGCCCCCAAACCACCCCATCGTTCTTCGTCGCATCGCTCGCGCTCGCGCTCGCGCTCGCGCTCGCGTGGGCACCGTCTTGCTGGCGTCCAGCAACTCGGTCTCGAATTTCTGGAAGAACTTCTGCAGGTGGAAGAAATGCTGCGCCGAGATCGACTGCAGCGGCAGCCCCACACGGCCCTCCTGGCCGGTGTCCGGCGCCGGTGTCGGGTTGCACCGGCCGGCCGAATTGAGCACAGGGATGCAAACGAAGCAAGAAAAACATGCCCACATGAAGAAATCAAGTCAAGAACCCCCAAAGTTTGAGTAATTCATCCAGTCATATGCGGCCGCATATTCTGTGGCCGCATGTTTTGTCGGAATGACTGCAGCCAAGGTGCTGGCACACTCGCTGCGGTGGTGGCATAGTAAAAGACTTCCAGAATGCTCGCTTTGTCAGGGCAGGTAAAGACCTGCCAGATCTGAGCGACATTCATCCGAGTCTGAGACTACATCTCTTTCAAGCTGAGCTTGTACAGTGCATGTGTACTGCATGGTTGATGCAGTTGACCTGCAATGAAACTACCTGCATTCAATGTCTGAGTTGCTCTCCACTGCTGCTAAACTGCCCTCCCTCTTCTCTTTGCAGTGTTGACACGGGATTATTAGCCAGCTTGTTTTACAAATGCCCTGTGCTATCCAGGCTTCCCAGTTCCAAATGTCCTTCGAGACCCCAATGTCCCTCATCCAACAACCACATGTTGCCTGTTCTTCACCTCCTAAGAATTCTGCTAACTTCGGCTCTCAAAACCATCTCTCCCCGGACCTACGGCATGCGAGTTTCGTCGTCGTGGTCGTACGCTTGGGGTTGGCCTTGGGTACCCAGGAGAGCTTTGGCACCAGATCACACTCGATGAGCCGCGCCACCAGGAAGGGCGGCTCTTCCAATGGAACAACCAAGGCTTGTGGGGCGCTATCGCCAATGGTGTAAAAGCCCGTCAAGTAGTAGAGATCCTGGATTTCCAAACAAAGCCTCGAGGTTTTATTTGGGGTGGACATCATAAATGGATGCGGATGGAATATGGATAGTCCTGGACAGTTGAAAACTGTTGAAGAACATCTCTCCCGAATGCGAAGAAAGCAGACATCCTTAAGGAGCAAAAGTCATGAACAGAGAGGGACCCAACTCAAACAGGTTGGTGCATCCTGGATTGTGAACCCACCCCACTACACCTTTCAGAGGCCTTTTTGTAGGTGAATGTCCTGCATGGTGTCACCCTCATAGGGTTTTGTGGAGAAATGGGGCACAGCATCTTCGCTTGAAAGTGGGAGAAGACATGACAGATTACATCAGATCCAGAAGGAGGACGTTTGAAAAGGATGGAGTCTTTGAGGGAGAAGCTCAGTTCCATTCCCCATACACTATATACAGTATATATGTATTGCAGTATTGTGAGATATAGTGAGACTCCAATTCGTTGCATGAACACCCCAATGCCCATGCGATTCTGGATCCGATCTGCAGTCCTCTGGCTGGACCACGATCAGAAAGTCGAGGCCATCCTGTCACGTCTTCAAATCCAGAAAGGTTTCAAAGGAGGGCGTTTGCTTTCTTTGTTAAACAGGTGATTTCCAGGCATACCTGACATCAGCACTGTGAAACAAGTCAGCCGTGGATCGGGTCACACCCTTTCAGAACAACACCTCTTTCTCAGCCAGTCACCCCGTTCGCCGGCCCAAAACGAACGCCCCGCTTCGCCGGTCGTACCGCCCGTCGCGACCTGCGTCATGGACGCCCGGGTCTCCGCCAGTCGTCGTTCATACTCGTCCGGTGGCACTCGCAGGGGAGCGCCGCTCCAGCTGTGGAAGGGGTGGATTCCTTCCTGACAAACACGGAGCGGAGAGCGACTGATCTGGTGGATGTTTCTGAACGAGGGAGTGGACTTTCTGAAGAGAAGTGGTGGTTTTCCATGGTCTTCCTCCTTCTCTTGTAGCCGAAAAATAAGGTACGTGTGACTTAGCAGTATTCAAACTACAAGAGAGGCTGGAATTGAGGTTGGTGGGATAAAAACCTCGTAATGACGGAGAATGCATGCACCTTTCTTGGTCTACCACAAAAGAAAATCAAATTCACACACCAGTGCTTAGCTGCCTGGTAACTGAATGATCTCTTAGATGCAAAATAAGGCCAGTGGGAAGAAGCGTTGAAAGCTGCTTTCTATTGCTTTCTGATGGTCTGCAATTGTCTCGCTTTGGCCCCTTGCACCAACATGTCGTTCTAGATGCCAGTACCATCAACTGCTGCCCTGTGCTCCAAGCCCCGACGAATGGCCCTGCGGATTGCATCACTTCTGACCTGGCTACTACTCCGTTCTCTCTACATGAGGAAGAATGGAATCACCAGGAGTTACTTCTCCACATGAGGTGAAAACAGCTCAGGATAGATTCGATAGATCTTCAGTGTTCACCTATGGCATACTGCCAACCAGATCCAGTCACCCCGGCGGTAACTGCACACCGCCACCCCTTGACTTCATTCTGCGACGTGTGGACACCGATGCTCCGGGACGTCCGGTCGTGCACGACGCGTGCACGTGTCGTTGGACTCAGTTCCATTTCCCAAGGCAATACAGTATGAGTCCTTTTCTTGAAAGCTTTGAACCAAATTACCATCGAAACCGAAACAGCCTCATCACGCACCCAACACACAAACAAACTTCAGCGTTGCTACGCTAGTCACATCAATCCTAATCCTCCTCTTGCACCCGAAACAAAGAAACACACACACACTTTTGGGAAATACTTTTATACACTCAAAGCATAGCGGCACTGGACCCCAAACATATCTCCGGGCGGGAACTAGTGCAAAGAGAAACACCTCCAAATCCTCCAAAGGCCCTCTCCTTCCACTGCAATTGCCTAATAAGTAATTGCCGAGGTTCGGGCTTTCGTTTCAACAAGACTTTGGAGATCACCTCTTCAAAGTCCATCGCCGCACCCGAGATCTACCGCCGTTCCGTTCGACCCGGGGCTATTCGGACCGCCCAAACAAGCAACGGAGAACGGACGTCTCGACCCTTGGAAGCACGGGAAAATGGAAGTTTGCAAATGGAAGTTGTGACCCAAGAAAACAATAGAAAACATGGGAAAACCATGTCTTGTAGATGGAACACAAACACCTAGTCATCTAGTCCATGGAAGCACGGGAAGAGACGCCGAGATCAACCACTCCATGGTGATCGATCCATGTCATATCGATATCGCCATCATCGTTGACGAACAGTTATATCTGAGCCCACTGAACATTGCATCTTGTAGCCAAAAACACCGTGCACCTGCAAAATCACACACATTGGAGTTGTTTTTGGTTTGAATCTTCATAACCAGCGCAAAAAGAAACTACCTTGTTCACCCTGGTTAGCAATTCCTATCCTTCTCCTACAGCAAAAATCGAATACACCCAAGAAGTTCCTCCTCTGCACCGAAGAAGCTTATCGACAAGTTCAAATCATTCTTGAAGCCTGTGAGAGTTTCCCAAACTTTCAGAAACATGCTTCACATAGGTCAGGCCGGTGTACTGCTCACACCTGAAGACCATATCACACCAGCGGTCCTTTTGACAACGCCCACCGTTCTGTTTTTGCAGTGAAAAGCCACTCACTTGGCACCCGGAGTGGTCGTGGCGCGTTGCAAATGGTACCTGCCATCGAAGCTGGGCTGCTCATGAGTCTCAGCTTGAACTTTCTTCACCACGCCCAGTTGGGGTTCCACCTTGTTCTTTCGAAGGGAATGCCACAGATTCTCGTGAGCCAAAACTCTCGGGTTGGATGGCAGCCCTGAACCCGTCGTCTTCGAGGGCATTGAAATCCAGAAAACTGTTGGAGCAAACATTGAGACTCGGTCATGCCCTGGCAATCGAAAGGACCTTGACGGCCAGGGGGGCACAGCTTCACATCAGGATGTCCATGTTCCCCCAAGACCTCTTCGCTTGGAACCTGGCCAAGCGACATACCGTGTGAAAGACCCAAACAAGAAATCAACATGAAGCAAATCCTAAACACATGGGCCGTACAAATTCCGCGGGCCCTCTGATCATTGTCTCTCGCACCGTCGGGAAAAAGAACACAAACACTGCACGTCGAACACAGAGGTGTTAAGCTATGCATGTGGAAATCGGAATCTTCTCTCAAAAGCTGTCGGCCACGGCTGTCCCTGGCAAACACCCACCTCCTTGGCCAGTCTCAAGCCCAGTGGGCCCAACATCTGACGGAAAGGTTCAGCGGCCGGGGGGGGGCCCCGGGAGGGCCACGCAGATGGAGTGGTTGAGTTATACATGCTTCAATACATTTTCCATCATTTTCCCATCAGAAACCAGTGCAAATATAACGACTGTACTCAGTCCTGATTTCTGGAGAAACCCTTTTCATGGTGACAAGTGAGACTACTTGGAGACCAGAAACTGGGAGACGAACCAATGAACCGACTTTCAATTTGGAGTGTCGTCGACTGGGCCTTCATGTGATATTCATTGATATTCCACGTTTTGGGCCTTGTGGAAGAGGTCGATGGACTCTTGATCGCGTGCCTGCACGCATGTGAGAGCGAGAGCTGCTCGGCATCGCCGTTTTAGCCGTGGATCAAGATGTGTTGACACCGCCTTGAAGACGATCAATTTTGGGAAACACGGTAGCAAGCCGATGAGTAAATCAATGACAGCAACCTGCAGGCTCTATAAGCAACCTATATTTTTTTGCGGGGTGCATGCGGGGTGCATGTGGTCCTTTTACATCTGCCCTCACAAAAGGCCCCGTGGCCCCGCTCCTTGTGCGAGAGGATCACTTCTTCTGCGCCGGGGCCACTGGTCGCCCATGCCACGGCCTCGACGGCATCGCGGCATCCGGTGACGGATGGGCGTCGCGGAGCAGTTTCGCACGAAGCTGTTTCGCACGAAGCACAAAGAAGAAGAACCGATCATGAAATATCATGAATAATCTATAGTCTATACTAGTTTGATCTAGTTTGGTAATGTTTGGTATACGTATTTCATGTTCAAACCAACAAAGCACCAGTTAATATGAATGGTCCTTGCTGTCATGTTCGGTTGGTCTGGTTGAAGATGCGTGCTTTTCAAATTTATAAGGCTCTGGGGTGAATCAGCAACAGCCATGTGAGCAGGGATTTTTTTAAAGACGTGGTGGTGTTATCATCCTTGGGTGCCTACGTAGAACCCTACGGTTTGGCTACGTTTCCACAGTGAAAGCCTACGACAGACATGGCTTATTCCACATCGCCTACGGGAAATCTACGAACGTGAGGTTTTGGAGCATTACTGTTCCAATGTGCCTACGGTACCATGCAGTTCTTGCGAGTGGAAACGTTTACGCAGCAGCTGACCCTTTATCTTTCAGATGATGAGCTCGGCACTCTACGATGGGCAAGTTGGTTTCATTGGCTCTGTGCTTCACAACGGAAGACTGACAAGCAAGCAACGACTTCACGCTCATCATGAGTTTTGGACATTACTTCGGAGGCGAGGGACGATACCACGCGGGACGTGCACTGACGCGTATAGTCTCCCCATGTCTTCGACAGTGGGAATACTTCTCAGAACAGCAGGTTTTAACATCTATTTGAGAGTACTATAGGCAAGCGGACATAGGGGAAGGATAAACAAATGCATTTTCGCCTACGGTGCCTGTACGGAGAACCTACGGTGAGCCTACGGAAAATGTCCCCAGGAAAACAACACAAAAGAGTTGTTTGGGACATTGTTGGGAGTTCTCACCTCTTACACAGAAACAGTGGCCTTTCTAACCTCCCGGGTAGTCTTGGCATTGTGGTTGCATTGCAATGTCTTGCGTTTTTCTCTGGTGGTCATTCTAGGTGCTCTTGCAAACTGCCCTGGTTCATGTCTCAGACTATGAGATGAAAGACATCTGGTACAAGAAACTGAGACAAAAAAAACCACGGTCAATTCTAGTTTGAATCAGAAACGCAAGCTGGGTGACTTCAAGGCATGCTATTTCGGTCGATTCGGTCGCCTACGGCAAACGCCTACGACAAACATTAGACCATACAATGCCTACGACCGCCTACGTCCCCAAGCAGGTTGCCTACGCCAGCCTTTTGAAGGTTACATCTTGTATAAACCCTTTCATGTCAAAAAAAAATCTCTGCTCATGTGAGCAAAACACCCCATAGGTTTGCTCGAACCCAGCTGGCACGAGACCGATCCCAGTCATTGCGGCAACCGATCCCAGATCCTGGTCGAATACCGTCCAGCCGTCTGGTCGAATACCGGTCTTCCGAATGTCTTTAGGTTTGGTCCCTTCTCTCTTTTGGGAGGCCTGAAGGAAGGGCTCCACCAAGGACTCATGCCTGGAGCTGTAGGAGAGAAAATTTGCAGGACGCAGTCAATATCAGTCAACTGGAGCCAATGTGGCTGGGAGCAACCCTCTTGACGTTATATTTATATAGGTTCTTTTTTAATCCTTATCGCTTTACAGTACTTTGACCAGCTGCAAAATGTGGTTTTCATGTATGTGTGTGTGTGTGTGCACTGCATGCATGTGAACTCCAGTCTTAACGGTCGGAGCATCCGTTGAGGTCTGATTGGGGCCTTTGGGATTAGTAGATTTGGGCCCGGTAGTGCAGGGGATCAGCCATTACCTGCTTGAGTCAGTGGAATGAACCAGCAAGCGTTTGAGTCGAACGAAGGGGAGCGAGGCACGGAGCAAAGATTCTTCAGCTAGTGAGGACATCCTGCCAAAACATGTCTAAAGTTTCGGGCAGGGCCCAATCATTGATGCATCTCCATGACTATGCAGTCAATGATTGGCAGTCCAAAGTGGAGTGCCCCCCCTTTTGGCAGCGACAGGACCTACCAGAGCTCCATGGGACCGGATCGACCGCTCCATTTGGAGCCCCAGAGGGAGCGACGGTTGGGTTGATCGAATCCGAAGCTTCTTGACGACATACTCCACACATCTGACGACTCGGAGAGCCATTGTCTCCACACCATAAGACACTGATTGAACACTGTGATTCTTTCTACATCTGATGTAACTCTTTCTGTAACTGTTTGTTGGGTGGGCCCCAAATGTGTTCTTGTTGGATTCTCGAAAGAATCACATCCTCCTGTCAGAACTCCTTCTATCAAAGCCATCGAACAACTGGGCTCACCAAGCCAAATCACATCGCTGCCCAGTACCATGTCGAAACGACCATAGCGGCTCCGTTCCGGCAGCCTAGGCTGAAAACGGGCAAGGTGCCGGTGGCAGGGCCGGTGCCAAACGCTGCAAAAACAAGAGCTTTGATGAGTGGAGAAATAGAATCACCATATCTTCGAGTTGAAGTTGTCCCATGATCTGTTCAGAATAGGTGTTGACCAAGATTATTGAGAGGAGTCATTCCTGTGGGATCTGTGGGCATGATTGACTCTAACAGGAGTTCCGATTCGGATCAGTTGCGCCAGAGTGTTCCGATGGCAACGCTCGTCCTCATCCACACCGTCCGCGGATGATAAAAGGGCCGGGCTCCCGGACGTCCTCCAATCCAAGTGCCCATACTGAGCTCGTCCACCCACGGCGTTCAAGGTCGCTTGGTTTTGGGCGATGTTGCCCTGGAGAAGCAGGAGTCCGTCGGCACGGATCCACGAGGGGACGAACCGAACGGAGGTCAGGGCACAGGTAGCATCGCGACGAACCGAACGGAGCAATCGGACGCTAGGAGTTCGGGGCGAAACTGGCCCTACTATAGGAGCAAGTAGCTACTAGTAACAAGAAGCTATTAGTAGCTGGCATCACTACTAGCAAAAAGCTAATAGGTGGAAGCCATCGCTTCTAGGGCTAGGGGATCCACTTCTCCCTCTGGGCCGGTGATGGTAAAGGAAGACCATGAGCTAAAAATGCCAGGCCCTGCGATCTATATATAACCATTTTTTGTGGAATGCAAGATGTCTTTCGAGATCTTTCAAGGCATCGATTGATCCAAGAACCCTGTCAGATTGCTGACGCGCTGGGGGACACCCGCTAGACCACAAAGGGCTTGCGAAACCGAGAATCCACACACCAAAACGGCGAACGCCTTTTCTTTCGCACATCGTCCAAAAGTCTTGGTCCATCCTTGCAATCCTTGCACCCTCCGAGCAAACGTCGAACCGACCGGGCTCGAGGCGACCGGGCTCCACCGGAATCGGTTCGATGGAACGGCCGAGGGACCCACGATCCCTGTCGGACGATCGCTCCCCACCTGCGTCGCAGCCGCTTGCTCCTCGCCGATGTCTGTGAGCAAGACCTCCGATGAAAGCGAGAACGCCGATGCAAACGCAATCGATGGGCATATCATTTCGAAAACGCACACCATCCCCAAGTACCCAACAAACACGTTCTGCTTGCTTTGTGCAAAGTACTATGATTATGTACATTTAGATTTGCTGATATGGCCTCCAGTTCAGGATAGTCAAACTCTTCATTTTGCCGCTGGGTGTTGCAAGTTTGCTTGGCATCCACGTGGCATGTTGCACATTTACTTACCTCCTGAGGCCGTGTGCTAGCTTCTCACCAAACACACCGTTCACCGCTGGCCTTGTGTCAACCCCAGAATTGATTTGCAAGGATGCAGGCAAACATGAAAACCCGCAGTAAAGCCTGCTCAGGGAATTTGAAGCAGAAACTGTCACCGTTAGCGGCCAATTAAGAAGCCAACAAAACCCTGCAGGTTCTCCACTCCAATCTTTGTGGTCACGCGTTTTTTGTCGTCCATGTTCAGGGCGTACCCACGATGCCTGGCCTCATGACCCAGGAAGGCTAGGCCGAAGCCTTGCGGACTTGGTGGATGACAACTTCAGCTTGGGAGTCCAGCAAAAACAATCACGGTACATCCTGATGAGATACAGTATAGATGTTGGAATTTGATCATCATTCCCAAGTGTTTGATCAAAGAGCTCTGTCCACAAACCAGCCACCACAGCACCTGCCACTCCAGTGCCGCAGCCCAACTCAATACCTCTCAATGGCCTGGAAACCCACGGCATGATCAAAAGCCCTGCAAAAAAGAGGAGGCACACACGTCCAAAAGGGTAGCAAACCCAAGCTGTATCTTTCTGCATTTGCAGTACTCTTGCCACTCTGATCCAGCCTTCGAAGAGTCTGAGAAAGGACTGAACCATACTGAAACCTATAATCTCGCTCTCCCAAAAGGGCACGACGACACCCTTCGTCTCACACTCCCCACTCTCCGAAACAGCTGGACCAACGGGATCGATCCGCTCCCCGCACGCCACGGACATCGCTTCGGCTTTTCCGCCGCGGTCGCTGCCGGGTCTCGTCTCTTGACCTGAAGAGCGGTTTGGAAAGCGAAAAGGTTGGCCTATAGAAATTCAAGTTGAGATTCACTCTCTCATAGAGAGTGATTTAGATTGGTGAAAGGCGTGATGATGACTGTGAAAGGATGAGTGAAGCCCTGTGGTGTGGCCTTACTATTGTAGCACTACCTTAAAAGGACCTTAAACACCCGTACTTTATGGTCTTTCCTGCCTTTGAGGTAATGTGTTCAATCAATGATCCCTCCGTCGAACAAACATAGAGCTGCACTGTGGTGCGACGTCCTTTCTTCTCGGAGATCTTTAGAACTTTAGAAAGTCTTGGCCATGGGGTGTCTGGATCTATCCAAATCTTCAAAGGGGCCCATCTAAAGGGGCCACACCCCAGGCAAGGCCGTGCTTGAGAGCAGGCAGGCTGGTGACAGCACCACGCGGTGCCTAATCACACACTGCATTTACTGCGTTTACAAAAAAAGCACGGGAAGATGGCCAGTTGGAGGGTCCATGAATAAGCTGGCCCCCACACAGTCTTAAACTGTTTTGTTTAATCCTCAATTCAGATATTGTTGGGCGCCTCATTAGAGGAGCGTGCACTGTACATTGGCCAATGCCTCTCTGAAATGGGACAAGAAAATGCGAAGTCATGCACTGCAGGCTATACATCTGCAGATGCTGCGCACCGACAGACGAAAAACCCTGGGCTCGCAAAATTGCGACTTGCTTGCACAAATCTTTGCGCAGCAGGGCAGTCCGAGAGTGCACTGCAGGTTCTTCAGCAATTTCGTGGCACTTCGCGCCACAAAGTCAACGCATGGCATTGAAAACCCACGTGTTGATGATGGGAAAACCCCGGTTTTTGACGCGTGAGTGTCTCACTGTCTCAGGTAAAATCGGGGTGTTGATCAAAATTGTACACCTACATCACTCTTTGGATCGCATTGTTGGCCAAGGCTTGGATCTTCTAAGCCTAAAAGATATTTTAGGCTCCAGCCTGCCTCAAAATTGGGGCCAAATGGCATCTTCCATGTCCAGAAGAAGGGTTGAATCTGATCCTGGGCATCAAGGGAAGGACGGAAGGACAATAGGATAGATTTGCCAAGTCGTCTTTCCTCACTTCACTTTCTTTGGCGTTCATCGATTCCACTGTGGACAAAAGGAATCTGAGATGTTAACGTCCCAAGCATTTACAAATTGTTACAATCTTAACACACAGCCCGCTTTCTATACTCCCAATATATCCCAATCATCTCCCACCAACAGCCACACGTGCTGCGTGACGAGTCACGGATCGGAATGCATTCACCTCTTCTGCAACGAAGGTCCGGAGCAGGTCCGAGTTGTGGCAAGCATACCTCCGACGTTCCACGCCGTCCCGCCCTAGCCATCCGCACCAATGATCCACCATGATCCACTGGCCTACATCCTCAGAAGGTAGGGACCGACTCCCTCTTCGCCTACCCTAGTGCAAATTCCAATGGCGAATCCTTTGCGGGCTATCCCAAACTGCACCTATTTCTTCCCCCAACTGATCCCAATGGCGAATCCT